AGTCCTCATGCCAGTGAAATAAAAGAAGCGGTTACCACTAACTGTGTTTCAAGTACCTCGTCTCTGCAGAGACCCACTGCAGGAATAAGCGCACAAACTGGTACCTCTGGCAAGCAGGTGCCTCAGCCACGTGAAGAGGTCCATGTACCTCAACGTGTTTGGCTTGCTGGCTGTGAGAGAGCAAGCATCTGCTGCCACTCAACTTCTTTCAGTCTGAGAAGTCTGGGGAGTGCGGTTCTGCAGGGACAAAACCTTTGAAGCAGTTACTCAGAATCATTTTTCTTCCCAAACTGCAGCTGTCGATGCCTATGCCTAAGCTTAGCTCTGTAAGAAGTGCTCCTTGGTCTGTCATTTTCTATCAAACGGGCATAAGCAGGTTATCAAATCAATGGTGACACAGTATGAACACGCGTGTTTCCTATCGCAGTTTCACTCCTTTTATTATGTGGCCACTTCTTAAAGATGCAGGCAGAGTAAGTTAAAATACTGGGGTTTTCTTTCTTTAAGCTCAAAACCAGGAGTACTCAATAACAGCTCATGATTGATTAAAAAGTGTCAACAAACAGCCTAATCCAGAAAGTCTTTATGAACTTTTGACTCATACCTTCGGCCTTAGAAAGCTGTGGATGTTTTAAGTCAATTTCCCCTTTTCTTGTACAAAACGCCACAAAGATTTTTGACTCGTACGTTAGTATAAAGTCCCAAGGCCTTTACTTTCTTGTTTTTCACAAACAACTTGACCTGGCCCCTAGATAATAAATGCCTGACAAGATAGAATCAGTGAAACACATGACACCAGAAGCCTGACCTGCAAACAAAAAGATGTTAGTCAATAATAACTGAACCAGAGGGGTAGCAGGTACCGTGTCCCAGGAGGTCCTGCAGCACCAGCATGTACCGCAGCCTTCAAAGTGGAGTCCTCTGGCAACAGGACTCCCCAGAAACATCTGATTTACTGGGGAGAGAGGAGCTTGGGGAGAGACAGCGAGGTAGGAGGACTACTCACCAACTCCACTAGAAGCAACCCAAAGACCTACTCACTTATTGTGAGAGAAATTTAATCATAATATTGTCATGAATTACTTGAATACCATTGCCAGCTGAGGTGCCTAAGCCTTCGCTGTGGTACAAACTGCTCTTCAGAATGGACTAAACAACAGTTCCACTGCTGAGCTGTTAACTATTACATAGGCTGCAACCTGCTTTTCCAGGATGATACTGCAGTGCCAGAATGTTTTCATTTGTAATTTAGTAGAAATCCTTGCCTTTGACAGATATGAAAATGACTGCTGCATGTTTACTCCTACCAGATGTCTTTGGAGATGACTCCAGTCTGTTTGCTGCAGTGAACGAGGAGGTAGGAGACGGAGCACCAGCTGATACTCTTCCTTGTATCAGCTCCCTTGGCACATTACCTGGCCTTTTCGTGGCTCAGCTTAGTTCCTGGAAAAGGGTGACATTGGCCTGCCTTTTGGGTAGAAGGCAAATATTCATAGAAATACTAGCTAAATTTGAAGCAGTGTTATTAGGCTTACTTAATTCTCTGACCTGTCCACCTGGTGATGTGGCATCATTTGAAATATCCTTTTTTTTACCTTAGGTAAAGGCAGTGACACCAGTGTTGGAAGTAAAAAATCCCTTCAATGTGAATTCATGTGAGTTTGCACTGTACGTAGAAAGAGAAGAGCTAGCCCAGCTCGATGACTGCACCATGGCCCTGGCTGCACTGGTGGCTGCATTTCATGTGTTCAATATCCCGTGCCCAAAGAGAATCCACAGGACGCTGAACTTCCTGGAGTCCCTGGTCTTTGAGGTGAGGAGCCCAGCATCCCTGCCGACCCAGGTAAAGAGAGGGCTGGAGGCACCCGAGTACCCCAGTACCTGATGGTGTACACAGCACTCCTCTCCGGAGCATTTGACATTCTGTCAAAATAAACCCCTTTGTTGTGACAATAAATCAGTCCCATTCTTTCTGGTGAAAGTGTATGTATATTTATAGCAGTTATGTTTAATAATGCTTTTTTTTAATTGTACTGGCTACTTTTTTAAAAATTTAAAACTTAAGCATTTTCATTATTTTAAATGGAAATTCTAGAGCGGTCTAGCAGCATTAGAATTAATAAAATTTTCTAGATTACTGCACGTGTCGTATTTTTAAATATGAAGCATCTAACAAACTTGGATAATATTTTGACTGTCAGAATTTATAAAAACCCTCTGTGAGCTAATGTGAGCACTTTGCTGCTTCAGATGCTAATATAGTTAACATCTTGAAGTAGCACAAATTAAAGATTTACTTATTATCATAATTTCATTATGTTATGATAATTGAAAGCCTACTATAATAATTTTTGTGTTTTAAAAAGGTGGGCCTGATTTTTAATTTGCAGGATGATGAGTTTTCACTATTTTCTCCATGCATGAAACCTTCTTTTCTTTTTTAACATTAATCCAGAATTTGCTAAGTAGGGATTCTGACAGGAGCTCTCAGAGTACCAAGAATGACTTATCTGGGATGCTGCCATGTGCATTTGTAACCACAGCTTTGGCACCAGGGAGAGAATGTCTCATTTTCTTTCTGAATTTATTCCCCAGAACAAATCGTCCCTCTCCACATGGTGACTCTCCTGTCTGTCCCCGCAGAATGGAGGCCCTCTCCTCTCCTCTTCCACAGCCTCCTCTTCTCCCTAACATGCTCCTCTTAACTCTTGCATGTCTGGAAATCCCTTGGGTTACTGCCTGACAGGCAAGGCTTCGGACAAGCACCTAGTGATGGACAGTAGCAGCAGCCAGCAAACAAGACCCATGGTATTAATTAGAAATTAAAATGGCTTTTTATTAAAACACTGCTTTCTACTAAAGAGATCAATATCCCACCAGTTCTAAAAAATGACTGTGTAGGCAAAGCAGCATTTGTGGTCACCAGGATTCTTTAAACACTCAAACACACGCAGCTTGGAAGACCACAGAAGTTTTGTTAAAGCCTGGCAATGCAGGGGTGACTGCAGAGGTTACAGTGGCAGACCCTGCAGTATGAAGGGAGATCACTGCATTTAATGGCCATTTCATGTGGCTCCCATGGAAACTAGGGGACAACCCTTACCTGTGTGAGGGCTGGGCTACCTCCAACACAAGATACAAAACAGTAACAACTGCTGTTTTAAAGACTCAGTAGGTCTCCTGAGTGTTTTTAGTTTCTGCGTGAATTTGTTTGGTGTAGTTTTTGTAACAGAGGTGGCTGCATCCCACTACCTCATCACATGGAATACAAAAGTAAGGACTATGCATGTCCTCACTTTTGTGATAGATGCATGAACAAAAAGCTGGGCTCTGTATCATTTAGGTGAGGTTTATTCTACATCTTGTAAACAGTATTAATTCAAACCCATTTCTTAAACCACAGTACTTTGTAAGTACGTATACAAAAATTCAGGGAGCTGTTAACATCCCCAAGTAATCTCTGCCAAGCAGCAAATGTCTTCATTGGTTCACACCGCAGGCTACAGAGTTGGCACACCAGAGACACAGAAGGTGAGGGAAAATAAGCTACGTGGAAGGACAGAAGGAAAGAAAACAGAAGAATTCGGCATTTTACTGATCTGCTTGGGCAACTCCAGCTGCCGCCAGTGACAAAATCCAGGTCCATAAATGGGATTCTGGTTGTGACAGCAAGCGGCCCGTGAGCCTTAGGAGTAAGCGTTTAGAGAGAGGGCAGACAGCAGTAGCCAAGGTGCTCTTTCAAACTCACGGCCACATTGAGCTACGGTGAGGAACTACTCCACACCACCCTTGGGAACAGCTGGGTTCATCTGAGAATCCTGGGCACACACAAATGTAACAGACAGCTCCAGTTTAGGTTTTATTTGTATTGTAGTACAATAAGAGTGCAATTTGAATGTACAAATATCGAACATAATGTAAAAATATTATTTATGCAATGCTATGGAAGGAAATTAACAGAGCAATGCAACTTACTTCGTACTGACCCTGTTTCACCTCATATTATGGCAGGTACCAGTCACCTACATGATCTGGAAGGGGCACAGGGAGCTCTTGAAATCTTAAGGAACTCCAGCCAAAGAAGAGCCTAGCAAAATCTGTGGGAAGATGTAAAATTCTCCCAGCTCTGTGAAACGGAAATGCTCTGTTTGTTCTCAGCTCTAAAGGCTGAGCAACTGCCCACCACAGCGCTAAGAAGAGGGCTGCCAAAAATCTTGATCAAACTCTTCTCTTGTTGCAAAAGTAACGTTCTAGAACAGTCCTCAGTATACAGGTAGCCAGGCTTTCTCCCATTTAAAGTGCATCTGGTTTACATCTTACGTATATATACCAAGTGCAACAACTTTCCCTGACAAATCGTTATAATAATCCTCCGAGAAAGAAGGTTGCCTCACCGAAGTACCTGCTGGTGGCATCTGCAGCCTGCTAACGACCCAGTGAAATGCATGCATTTTACACCTAGGATGTGCGGGTGCACCGTATGCGTTTAAGTATCCTTTTCCTCCGTGCTTGGTCTTTCCCCCTTGTGCCTTATTCACTTATAAATCAGACTTTCCAACTAGAAAGTGGTGGGTGAAATAATTCTCCCACCATTGGAAAAACAAACCTATGTTGAACATGAAGCCAGAAAAGTAGTCCTAGCTTTAGCACACGTTGTGGTGACTATACAGGAGACTGGCATGTGCAGACATGAATGAATACATTTTCTCTTTTTGCTAATGTCCTTACCTCAAAATACACATACTTTCCTTCATGTGCTGAAGGACTGTAACAGGCTCCCATGTAAAAGGCTGGGACTATTGTGCAGCATAAACAAAAAGTCTTCTATGAAGTCAAACTTTTATTTTTCAGTTGCAGCCTTCTCTATACTGATCTTTTGGTAGAATACATTAAAGATGCTGGTGGAAAAACTCACATAACATTTTTGTAATCGTGCAAAAGTAAAAACATTCAGTTATCAAAAAAGCATTATCATTTCAACCCCAACAAGGTTTGTTTTGTTTTGTTACAAGCAAACAGACAGTTTTATAATCTGTAAAGTTATATGCTGTAGCATAAAGTGCCACATATGTAACATTGTTTCATTTTTAAACTATGGCACAAATATGTATTAGCCATAACAGTCTCATCTGGCTACCTGTAGCCTAATTTTTGGCTAATCAGTTTTTATTTTGATAGTATGCAGTAAAAGCTTCTGAAAAGTAAAATGGGTACATGAAGTGGAATTCAAGAATTCTTAGAAAATATTAATGTTCCCTTATATAATACAGCATAAATAATTAATGAAGGTTTTCTTGATGTCCAGAGAAAGTTAGGGATCCTAACCATCCGTAGAGAATTAGCGCCATTAGTTTGGTAAATAAGACTAGCTGACTCCCTTGTTACGCAGTACCTTCCCAAAGCTTGAACAACTCCCAGAAGGATTCAGAGGTGTACTGGCTCTAGGAGAATATAAATAGTCCACCAGTGCTGAACGTATGTTTCTTCCTTTCTGAGAGTCCTTACTCAACAGTTCTAGCGAGTCTTTGTGCTTTGAATAAAACATGAGCTCCAGTGGAGAAAGCTGGCTTGTACACATTTTTCATTATCTTCAAAGTTCATTGTGTGAGTTCTTCTCTGCAGCTTTGAACATCAGAATGGAATTAAAGATTTTTAGGGCTGGTCCCAGTTTAATGCTCATTATTTTCACTATGTCTGATTGGGTCATTAGCAGAAATGCTTCTCCATCAATTTGCTTTAAAAGAAAAAAACACACAAAACTATTAATAGGTCTGACAGTGCAGCAGTATAGACGTTTCAGAAAACATGAAAAGAAAATTCCCAGCAATTTCAGACAGTGTAAAGGAATGGCTGAATACAAACAGTTTCAAATGCTTTCATGATAGCTTTCATTTCAACCTTTCAGACACATCGGCTAGTCCAAAAGAAAAGAATGATTACCTTATTTCTGCTTGAAAACAACTGTCTGGCTAATTTTTAGCTAACCAGTTCTTATTTTCACACTGACAGTATGAAGTAAAAGCTATTGAAAAGTAAAATGGGTAAATGAAGTAGAATTCAACTGCTCTGCAGCACAGCAATGCTTTTAAACATCTTAGCTACTCCTTTTATGCAAGCCTGCATAAGAAAGCTTCTGAATTTCACTCCCAACTAGCCCCTTCAGGCCACCCCTTTCTGTTCATTAAATAGCAAATTAAGATGAATTTCGTCCCAGATGTAAACAGGGGCCAGGCTACACAAAAATGCCTCCTTGACACAAACACAGCTTTTCAAAACACTGCATATTTTTTTTTGCCAGCTTTGTAGTGTTGCTATTTTAACAAATGTTACAAAGTCAGTATTATCCTGTAAGCAAATCACTCTGTCAGCAGAGTGCTAAATCTAAACATGAAGAGCCTCAAGGACCTCACTTCCAAGGGCTTCAATGGGGCCAACACTTCTTTTGTAAATTTCAGGTCACTCAGGTACCTATCTTAAGTTTTCAGTGTAACTTAAGCAGAGTAGCTAGGCCTAAAAGCCAACTGTGGTTAAATCAGGAGCGCTGCTTAGGCTTGAAAGACATTAATTTGAGATAAAACCAGTGAAATTAAGTTTCTGTAGGACCGGAGACAAGCCTTATGAATCAGACGGTGTAAAGGAAGCCTGCAAGGTACACCCCAGCATTGTAAATTGAGGAACACTGCAGTGAGAACAGCATCATGCAGTTACCACAGTTACTTTCTACACATTTTGAGCAGAAAACCAGACTGGGTGGGCTCAGAACCAGAAGTGTGCAAACACGGGGGTGCCCAGCTTTTTGCAGCATCTTAATATAAGCACGATGAGGGTTCATTTCCACTGCAGAAGTCTGAACCAGCACCTTCTACCTACTGAAAGACCTACTGATGCCAGCCAGTCCATGCTGGTTGGCCTCACTGGGAGAGGTTTGATTTACTACTCACAAAGGCTGAGAGGCTGAATCCTAAAGAGGGGAAGTATTTTCTTACACCTCTAAGAATGAAACTGTTTAGGATCCATCCATCTCTGTGGCACTTCCCACCTGCTGCCTTGATTAGCAACACGCCAGCTTTTATTGATCTTAAATTCATTGCTGAGACACCTCAAGTGACACCGGGGATGATCTAGGTCTGCATACCTGCTACAACTGTAAAATGCCTAACATCTAAGCAAGTGCAAAATGCCCAGAGATGCAGCCTGTTAGTCCTTTGATATGCAGCTGTAATAGTCATCACTATCTACAGCACAGCCTGAAAACTTTTGCCGCAGATTAGCAGAGCCATCTCTATGCATTCCCCTCAGGGGGTGCCTTCTCAAATCTAAGAACCACAGCTATTCTTCACTTGAAAGGCTGGCTGACTTGGGATATTACAGTATCAGACTCTGCCCATTCAGGTTGGGATAAGCACCTCGCTATTCAGTCAGTCAATTTGTGATCAAACAGCTCAGTTTCATAAGCACCAACAGGAGTAATAAACCTTGGAGAAGAAAACAAAAAGCCAACCTAGCTTATAAAGGCCTATTGTACCTAAAGGCCCTATCACTTCCTAATGACAACTTTGGCACAACATCTTCTCAGGTACCAGAAATGCACACCTGTCGTGCTCACAAAGGGAGCATACACTCCTTTGAACCTCATCAGAAGCCTTCAGACCTTCTCACTTTTTGCTCACTCAAATCACATTCGTAAACTGGCTACACCAGGAGAAAGAGCATCAAGAGCTAAGTGTGATTTAAAAAGATGCAAAGAAATTTAAGAGGTGTTTATCTTGAACTACTGCTCTCCTTTATTTTACTTATTATTAAATTCCCTCAAACCAGATCAAGAGAGACCAGTAGTAAATCACAAAGTTCCTCCTCTTCTACCACTAGTTCTAAGTAGTTTCAGTTGCAGTAACAAAGCTAGAGAAGCACGAGAGACCTGGCTTGACACTTAAGTTAATCTTCTTTACTTCCTTCCCACTCCGTGACCTGCAAACCAACCTAATCTTCCATACATTTGCATCTGAGTTTAAACATACACTTTCATCCTACTGCTTTGTATGTATTTTCAATGATGACATAAAATTAATCTTTCCACCAAGCTTTGTACTCTTTGAAACAAAATTCACCCACCTCATCTTTAAACACTTTGCCATGTTCTTCACATCCTGGTAAACTCCGTATAAATTCAGAGACCTGCCACCAAAGTATAAACCAAAAGATTTAGTAAGACCAGTGTTTTCTCAGAATAGTCTTAAAGGTTGACAATCATTAAAGATTTTTAGCTACTGTTTTTACAGCCTCGTATTAGGTGTTCCACCTTCGTCTATAAGTGCATGGAGTGATGCAGCTAGAAGTTTAAGACCAGGATTCACAAAATCTGTGACCTGAAAGACATGTGCCACTCTTGTCCACAAGACATCTAAGAGTGGGATATGCCTACTCCCTCAAAATTACTCAGGTTATTCTACCCATGAAGACCCAGAACCATGAATCCTCTCTTGGTGAATCACTTCAAGCAAAACTGTTGCTGCCTTACTCCTCTTTATTCTTTACAGCACAGAGGTTAGCAAATCCTTTTTTCAAAGTTCATGCTTCTGTTTTCTCTGATTAGAGGAGATATGACTGTCCCAGCTGCAGAAGACTGCCTTAGTCACAGGTATTTTTGAAAGCGGGGACTAGACCCTGTCTGTCCAAGCATTACTACATATTTGAACAGTGACAGGGCTCCAATCTTAAAATCGGGTGTCATGGCCTGCCCGTATCTATACTGTTCCTCTCTGCACTATATTCTCACCCTCCAAAACAGCGTGCCACATCTAAACTACACACCAGGAATAGCTCCTTGGTCCATGCCGACCCCTAAACCACTCCTCCACAATGTTTGAGTGAGTACTAAATGTTATTGGTGTACAGCTTGAACACCTGATCTGCTGGGTCATACATTCAGCACTTTTCTTTCCCTTTTTAACCCCAGTGAATATATGTATATATACACACACATACAGATTTATCTATATCTATACCTATCTATACACAAATGAATTAACACTTACTGCTTCCAGGGCTGGATGGCAACTGAATGGGCATTTTGGGGATGTTACATTAGGCCTGGCTGACTCTAATCCTCTGAGTACTAATGCATTACAGTTTATCTAGGGGGCTACTCTAAAGCTCTGAATCAACCAAGACTTTGAGGGCAGTGGCAGTGAGAGAGAAGATACAGGGGAAACCTACCTCATCTGTACTCCACTTGGAAACTTTACTGGCTGGAATCCCAGCTACACTTGGAAGGAGCTTGCTCTGCTGTTCCCAGCGCAAGGGTAGGCCAGGGATTTGCAACTTGGAAGACACAATAACTGGTTGAGAAAGAAGCCTCTGTGCATTGGGTTCTTCAACGTCTTCAACAACAGGAAGCAACAAACAAGCATTAAATCCCTCAGTCAGTGATGAGGCCAGTCACAGTATATAGAGTGAGTATATATATACATATATATATGGGCCTCCCTACACAAGCTGTACAGTTTAGCTTACACTAGAATTAGAGGAGTACCATGACTGTTCCTCTAGTATGACTGTGATTATATTGGCTCTACATAAATGTCAAATAATAGGTCAAATAATTTTAAATATTTGATACATAAATCACACCCACATTTAATAGTTGTATAGCAGCACAAGAACTAACTTAATTCCAGGGCTGAGCTGTTTTAACTTCCAACAAAAGCAGCACTACACTGCTATAAAATTCCAAGTGAATCAGTTGTACAGTTCCAGCCCACACAACATTTATGCCTCATCCACAACAAAATGTTTTTAAGTTCTTCTGAGGAAAAAACACAAATGTCTGCAAATTCCCTGCTCCCACTTTAACTGAATGTTTTATTTGGAAAATAACATCCAACTCCTCTGTGCTGCTATGGCGTTTTTGACAAGGTCACTTCCCTTTTTATCTCACCCATAATGGAAGGAATGAGCTTCCCCATCCCACCAGCCTCTAAGGTAATGTACTGGTGGGAGGGTGGCTTCAGCTACATGCTGCTGTCACTGCTGCTGTCTGGAGAGCAGCAGCAGCTGCAGATGTGTGTAGGAGGAAAGAGGGATGTCAAACTGCGTAAGACATCTACGTTCGTTTAGATCCATTGCAAATGCAAAAGCAACATGCCTACTATGAACTCAGGCCCGAATGCTTCCCAACTGCCGGGTAAAATTGTGGAAAACCTCTGGAATCCATTTCTGAATGAAACAGCCAACAGAGAACCTATGCCTAATATTCCTTACTGACATGGCTTCACACAATCGTTCCCAAATCCCTGTGCTATTTTTGTTTGGATCACTCACTTTATTACAGGTCCGTTCTATTTCCAGTTTTGAGAAACTGCTATTATTCACAGTTCTCTTTATCCTTACTGTTCTAGTTTTCATATATTTGTGCCCAACAACTAGGGCACAAATTCCTATTACAGACTTTGCCGGCACAGTGGGACTAGTCTAGAACCTATAATGTGGCCAATACAGGATGTGATTACATTTGCTTGTGTTCTGCTCCTCTAGCTTAAATTTTTGTTACTTTCAAGACTTATCCTCATTTTATACCAATGTTGATTATTCAGAAGTTGACTCTTAAGCCATTTAGTCAGTATTGTCAGCCCACTGATTAAATTTTTAGACTCCTTAATTTTTTCCTAGCATCATACTCTTGGAAGTGAGAGTTCCCTAAATGTCTGTTTACACTTCACTGTTGTTCCTCAAATGTTCCTTAGAGCTTCTATGACTACTAAAAATCTCAGGGAGAAAGGAGCCTTGCAAGGCAGGAAGCATGCTGAATGTAAAGCCTGTTTTACCAAATAGTATCTTTCTCATTGTTCCCTTGAAGCCCCTCCCCATCCTTACCACCCGATTTTTTCTTTCTAAAAAAGGGCTCTTAAGAATTGAAAACATAAGTATTCAGATCTTTTTTTTGTTTTCCATTCACAAAACATTGATACTGTAACTTAAATAGCAGACAACAACACTGTGTGAAGAAAATTCCAAGCAAATTGCACTCCATTTTTGCACATGTTTAAACATGTGTATACATAAGAACACATAGGCACATGCATAGTGAGTAGCAGCAATGATAGCTAAGGTTACCGATCCACCCCACTAGTTTCAATAGTTTACAGCTGTATCACATTCTAACAGTTCCAGATGAAAAATCTCTGCTGAGCATCTGTCCATGCTGTGGTTTTTTTTGAAAAATTCAAGCAATCACAGGTCAGCTTGTTATGAATGAGGTTGACAGAAAATAAGTTCACTAACGCGACACTGCATAACGCCAAACCTTGTACTCCATCTATTCACATTCAAGAGCTCTATTTACTGACATGGAAAGCAATGCAGTGCCCAATGCCTTTGAGGAGGTGGGCAAACATGCCTCTCTCTCTCAGCCTGTGTTGTTATCTGCCTCACAGGCAAGATGAACAGCACAAAAGGAGCATGTAAAGTGCCAATTTATCCAACTAGATGGAGGAAAAGAAAAAAAAAAAACAAACCAACACTCCCCAACCCGGCTGCAGGTATAACCACATCCCTGACAAAAGGAAGCTTAGGTTTAGTGTGGGTAACTTCTTGCAAAAGACAGCGCAAAGCACGGTATTTTTTTTTTGGCTACAATCTATGTAATACCAGACATCTGAACGTTCTCCCTACTCTCATGCTCTGGTATTCCTCACTTTGCAAGCCCTGCTTCCCATAAAGAGACAAACTGCGTTTGTGGGCCGGAGAAAATACATGATGTACTCCAATTTATGCCTCAATTTGGACATTTAGGAGAACTGTAACTGGAGGTGCACCATGGGTTAGCCAGTTTCATCACAGAGCAACAAAGAGCTCCTTGAATCACGTAAGTGAAGAAATAAAATGTTTGTCAGCTCCACGTGAGATAGCAGAGCCAGATGCAGTAAGTTCACACTTTTAGCCCTGAACATCGTTCTTTGCTGACATTTTGGTTCAGCATCAGCCCACCTGCCTCCATCTTCTTCTTCATACTTAATGCCACCTTGTTATCCTTGTCCCTGAACCGTATCTTCCTTAATTAATCTCTAACTTCCGTCTGAGTTACCACCCAACAAAATACAACCTAATGTTTCCAAGAAGCTAAATGGCAAACACTTTCTGGCGTCAATTCTGGTGTTAATCTGACCATTAACACTGTCCATTCCCTCTTGCATGTTCTAGTTCGTACCATGTATCAGGTTTTTAAACACAGAATCTGTGTCTGTAACAAAAGCTCGTATGAAGGGGCCATGATTCCAGTGGAGTTCTTTAGCTCCAAACAGTATTTCTCCAGAACAGGGAAGACAGCAGTACACGTTTTATAAAGTAGCAGTAGAGAACTGGCCAAGCGAGTATGGCAAAAATAGGCTGAAGAATAATAACGTAAGTGACATGCAGAAAAAACTGAGCAACAAGCACAGGTAACTGTAGTCACAGTTCACGAAAGTCTGGACAACTGCAACTATTTTAGCTTGAGCTTTCCATAACTATGCTAGCAAGAACTCAATGATCCACTTTCATTCTAAGTTTAAGTATTATGGCACATTTAAACAAATAATGGCACAAAATGATGTGTATAAAAAGGAGGCTTCTACCTTCGTTAAACTTTTAACAACTTTGTTAACAACAAAGTTAAACAACTTTATTAAACAATAACGTAAGAAAGTGTTCTCTCAAAAAGTTGCAGTCAATGGCTTGATGTCCAAGTGGAAACCAGTGACGACTGGCCTTACTCAGGTGTTGGTACTGGGACTGGTGCTATTTGCTGGTACTGTGGACAGTGGGATTGAGTGTGCCCTCAGCAAGTTTGCCAGTAATACCAAGCTGTGTGGTGCAGCCTACACGCTGGAGGGAAGGCAGGCCATCCAGAGGGACCTTGACAGGCTGGAGATGTGGGCCCATGCAAACCTCATGGAGTTCAACAAGGCCAAGCGCAAGGTCCTGCACTTGGGTCGAAGCAAACCCCAAGCACAGATACAGGCTGGGGGATGAGTGGATAAAGAGCAGCCCTGCAGAGAAGGACTTGGGGTATTGGTGGATAAAAATCTGAATATCCAAAGTCAACTCTGTCAAGCTCAAAATGCTTCACAAATTCAGGCCATTTTTCTTAGAATAAAAAAAGAATTGCAGACAAACAAATTCTCTGAAATATTTGATTTTAAATCTTTTGTATTATGTTATATAATGCAAAGTCAACATCAAAAGAGTCTGTTTCCATTCTATTGGAAAAAAAGACTTCAAATGATCAAACCCTCTTTCTTTCACCTGCTTTAGAGAGGTTCTTCTTTTAATGCTTCCTTTTCTCCAAAATTCTGAGCTGTATCATGTTTCAAAACACTGTAACAACCTTGATTTTTTACACCTTTTGCACAGCTCTTGTAATAGATGGAATCTTTCATACTTCACACGCTCTTTAGACTGCCTCTTAGATCTATCTGAAAAACGCTGGCAGACAAATGATGTTTTAAGATAAAAGAAATGTATCAGAGGTTAGTAATTAAAAATAGGTACCTTAATTTTATCTTCACACAATGCTCTACTAGTCTCAAAGAATTTCTTGGGTTTTATAAGGATGAGCTCACTTAGAAGGTAAGAAATGTAGCTTAAGTGTCAAGATTTTTGCCAAAAGCCTTATACATGTTGTGTTGCACAACAAATTGCTGAAAAAAATCTAAAAATTTAAGGAATTAAATTATGAAATGAAGACATTTAGCTTCTCATTGAACTTGCATGAGTTAATAAAATTATTGCAGCAAAAGCTGCGCTGAAACAATACACTGACTCAGTCCAATGACTAGCCTGACATACTAGGTTTCACACACACAAAATAATTATCAAATGTAAGACTGTGACATTCTGTATTCTTTCTAAACAATGAGGATAAAAAAGAATAATGAACAGCTACCTCAATCTGTGCAACTAGATCACTGAACAGCCAAGAGTTTTGAAACAGCGGTACACACAGCCACACAATCACTGAACCAAAGAAAAGTCCATGTAGGAAGGGACCTTTGGAGACCATCTGATGCAACCTTCTGTTAAGAGCAGGGCATAAGACTAAGTTCTCCAGGGCCCTGTCAAGCCAAGTCCTAAATATTTCCAGCAAGGGAGATTCCACCTCTTTTCTGGGCAACATATTCCAATTGTTCTCACAGTGAGACATTTCTTCCCTATATTCAGACAGAATTTCTGCTGAAGCACCTTGTGTCCATTCCCTTTTTTCCCACAACTGCATCCTGGAGGAGAGGGTACCTCCATCTTCTCTATAACTAGCTACTGTGACCAGATTCCTCCAAGCCTTCCCTTCCCAAATTCCTTCAACCTTTCTTTATATGTCAAGTCCTTCAACCACCTAATCATCTTGGCCCTCCACTGGACTGTCTCCAGTTTTTCAGTGAAGTAAAAATTTTAGCCATCCCTCTTTAAAACTCATGAAAAAGAAAGAGCTCATATGGGATGCTGGAAATTATCAGACTGCACAACAGACTGAGGTTGGGTTGAGTAACCTTAACTTTGCATTATGCCTGTAACATGTAAATGCTTTAACTATCTTTCAATACACTTTTGAAACAATAAGTGAATGTTATACCTTTACAACTCAGATTGGTTTAATTACCTATTTTTAAAAATCAGTGGAAAAATATTCTTGAAATTAACCTTTTTTTACCAGTATTAATTTTGCACTCATCTTTACAACTGTAATAAAGTTCTTAGCAAAGCCTTTGATGAATACAAGATAAAGAAACACAGTGTTAAATTGTTGCTGTCAACAAATTCTTGGACGCAAAACAGTGACAGTGGAAAAAAAGTTGCAATGCAGTTTCATGAAGAATTTAAAGGAATACCACACTTCTTTAGTTCTGCAGCTTTTAATATTAAACAGATGAAGGACTGTCAATTTACCTTGGATTTCATTTGAAATAAGCAGCTTATTTTCTGTCTCCTCTTCTTCACACTCTTTGTTCTTTATAGAGTCCTTTGTTTGTAGTACTCCACTGAGGAAAATAAGATGTTCACATTTTATTAATACATCATAAAAATCGCTAAGCATGATGACATCTCTCACTAACAATTCTATTAACCCATCAGGATTCGTGCACAAAGGATGTTGTACCATCATAAAATAAAAAAAAAAAGAGAGGATCTAATTTCTGACTTACACAGATGTCATGACTACTGACATGAATTTTGCAATGAAGGCTCAAGAGCAGTGTAAACTAAGATTATGTAAATCATATGAACACTTCACAACTGAAACTGGAAAACATACAACCGAAGGCAGCGGATATGTCCACGGCAGTAGATGGGAAGAGTGAAGAACACATATATAGCTGCATCTCCTACAAAGCCTTACTGGTTAGCCGGGTCATTTTCAGCAGCTGTCTGAAACAACATCTACTCCTTTTTCTCTGCCCAGCCTTCATCTCCACCCCACCGCAACTCCTGCAGTATACTGACATACTGTTGTGCAGCTGTTAATGGTGCCACTGAAAATACCTGTACTCATTTCTTACTGTTTTTGCATTACATCTTATCCAGCTAAAACAGCCGCTCTTTGCCTGCTGCCGGTGGCTGCTCCCTCAGCTTTGCCAGCCTCAAATATTTGCCAAGAGGGAATGCCTTCCCCCTGTTGAGAAAAATGGGGCAAGAGGGGTGGGAATATGAGAAATTGTCAAAGAGGGCTGGGTGCATTTGCATCTTAAAGTCATCCCCTGGGAAGTTCCTTTTCAAACTCCGCCTTCAGAAGGTATTTCCAGCCTGGTCTCTTACAGAAATGGAGCTTACATGAGCTTTCTGACACTATGTGTGTTTTTATTTCCTTCTGCTTTTAAGAACTTGAGAATACTTTGGCCAATTCTTAGTAAACCATCACAGATGCAGAGCTCTCAGAGACAACAAGTACATAATAAACATTTTCTAAAAATAGGCATCAGACAGAATGATCTTAAAGTCAAGACTACAAGAAAGCCCACTACATAAGCTTTACTGTCTACCAGAGAAGCAGTCAAAATACCCCCCTTACACATCCCCAACACAGAAAAAAGCTGAAGTAGAGCTAACACCTTGTTGAACATCAAGATTAGCTAACCTCAAAACACAAATCCACTGAAGAAACAGACCTGTTTAATTCCACTGTTTACATTTATAATATTAAATGTAATTTATATATTAAATACTATTTACACTTTTAAATACAAGGAAGCATTGGAGAACAAATCAGCTAGGAGCTGCAAGTTCACTGAGCTGCAAGTTCACCAACATCAACAGAAATATATTTAACACACTATTAATGGTGCAAAATGAACACAACAAATTGGAACATGCAGCCTTTGTAGTACGGCAGGACACAAACGAGTATGACAAGCAATGCCAGTGGAACGCATACAGCAGGCATGCCTTCTTGTGCCACAAAGGACTTCTCCACAATATCTTCCTCTGACATATCACCTGCATTTATTTTCCTAAAAATTACTTTCCTAACCTGCAAAAAGACAGAAAACTTCTAAAGTAAGATGCTATAAAGTAGTGTAATTAATTCCAAAGCCAAAGTAAAGGATCATTGTAATTCACCATAAGGAAGAGAGATCACCAAAACCTGTGAGGAAACATGTATCTTCCTGTCTTCTTGAGGACAATTTTCACAGCAACATCCATCTAGAAATTTTATCTCTCTAGTTAAATAAAAGATAGTATAATGAATTGAAGGTTTTGGGGAAGGGGGGCTGGAAGATAAAACTGAATTTTCTTTTAAGAGGTAGTACCATTTGATTTCCAAGCCTAAGTATTCATCTTCCTTCGCTGTAAATATTTCCAGAGTGTAATTCCTATTACAGTGAAATTCTGCTACTCTGAAGACAGTATAAAGATAATTTCAAATTAAAACCGAATATGTATAGGCATTGAATTTTTATCTTGAATTTCAATCTCAGGAACATTCCAGAGGGACAGACTGCAGTTTTTACACACATTTTTGCAAACCAAAATTTTCTAGTATAGCTGTTTGTATGCACAGATACCTCTTACTAATTAAAAAAATAAGAAAGAAAAGGAGTAAGTGGAACTGGAGATTAGCTGAGTACCACTTACATTTAACACAACAAAATAAATCTCATGGTTGGCTTCATATGTGGTTGGTTCCTCAATCAAGGGCTTCTATAAAACAAAAGATTACCTGGAATATGAAGGTATACACAACCATACTGAAGTTACACATAATTAAATCCACACTATGAGCTCAGCAGCTAAGGAACACACAAATATACATATCTATGCCTTTAATTATGCATGTGTACTTTGAATATATATCTAAAAAGATCCACTGGGTACTGCAATAACCAGATGCTCAGTATTTTATAAGTCTAGCAGTTCATATATATCTAATGTTGTGTACACTGTTTTTCATGCCTTTTTCAAAGGAAGTTTACTCAACTAAAAGTCCTCTCTGACTACGTTGGATACATGAAGAAGATAGATGATAAAATGCAGATAGTCATCAGCGTATTCAAACAGTTCAAATACAAACTGCAAAGCCTCTGGGTAGTTGAAAGTTGGCACAAGGCTGATACTCTCTTAATGAAAACGACTCAATACAGTGAACAGAGAGCAGACGTATTTGTTATTTTAGGTCTTCCTAAAGATAACATCCTCTAAAAAAGTGAAAGACAAAAAAGAAATTGTTCTTCAATTTATTTTAAGAGGTAGTCTGTAAAGTCAAAGTTTATTTCTAAAAAAAGATGGATTTACTACAACTATGGTAAAAGTGATGAATGACAACTATTATTTAACACAGATTATTTCAAAACTACACATGAAACTATCTTCTGTCTTTTTTTGCTGTTTAAATTCTCTTGAGTATTTTTGCTGTTTATTTGTGGTATGGAAATTATATCAGCACTGCTTGATGCTCCTATTCGATCGTTTTCAATATAAACAGTATCACCTCAATATGTTCAATATGAACAACATCACCTGATTGAAATAATGTGAAAGAATGCTCTAAAGAAAAGCTGACCAATTTTAAGAGATGCAAAAAGCTGCATGGTTAAATTTTATTTTCTTTTTTATTTAGCATAGGTTTTTGGAATAAAGAAAACAAATAGTAATAGTTCAGAAAAGAAAAAAAAAAAAAATCTAGTGGAAAAAGGAAGGCAAATCATAAAACACTGCCAGATCTGGTTTCAACCCAATTTGAAAAAAAAGTTTAAAAAAAAATCTTGCAGAGGAGTTTCAGAAGATTTAATTTGTTCTTAATAAAACAGTTAAGTTTCCATCATCAGCTGGGAGGTACTTACCAAATAATACTAACTCTCCAAAGTCTCTAAAGATGCTATTATTGCTAATAGTTCATATATTATGAACACATGATAACATAGCTGAGATAAATATATAACACATGACACTTCTTGTTCCAGGGTGCCTTCTATTTCTGTATGAAAACAGCCAATAAAACAATGCACTGATACTGTAACTAATTAAATATGTACGGAACCCTATTCCCTCACATATCCCCATGAAAACACTGAATTCTATCTCTTTAGTTTCAAAGGTAGCCTTTTTATACTATAAATATTATTTTCCAGTGCAAGCTTGGAAACTATCTCATGTCATTTTTTGTCAAAAAGATACTCCAAAGCCTAAGAGTTAAGGAATTACTTTTCATTTTTAAATGTGTACCTATTTGCACATATACAATAACATATTTGTACACGGAGGCATGAAAGAAGGGTCTCAACTTCCAGCAATTTCTGTGTCTTGTAGTACGCATTTCTTATTTCTTAAAGATATTGTGACTTTCCTTTCCGCCCTATTTCCAATATACAGACAGCTGAAGAACTTATATCTCCTTTCCCACTGCTTCCAAGAGTTCCACAGACAAACCACTGTACTGCATTGCCTGGCAAGGTGCATTTTAAACTGACTGACTCCGAACAACCCATACTTGGAAAGGAACTGATAGTTACCTAGGTGCCTTCTTTTCTTTCACATCACATAACAGGGGCTTCTTGCAAGGAGATTTACTTTCTGCATCTTCCGGCTTAGTTGTTTCTGGTATACATTTCCCAGATGATCGATTGTGAGCTGAAGATTTCATACCTACATGACCAGGGCTGGGGCATTTTCTGTCACTGTTTAAAACAAATTAACAAAACGTTTAAAACTGAAAGCAGCTGAGTTGTTCAACTTATTTTTTCTACCGATAAAGTCATCAGTGTAACTGAAGATACACAAGGATTTTGTTTGTTTGTTTTCAGAAACACACAGAACTTTTCTTCTGCCACCAACAACGTTGTATACCTGAGATTTTCAGAAATCACAATACAGAATTCTCTTCCCCGTGAAATCAAAGGTAAAATGTTTGGGCAATTCAACAGGAACAGAATTTGCCTAACGTTTTTGATAATAAGCTATCCACTTCAAATATTTGTAACACAAGAAAACTTTCAAGTACCATTTTCCTCCTATCCCTTCCATGATATACCGCTGTGCAGCCAGGACCCTTTAAAAACGTTATGCAGTCTCTTAATTGCGACAGTGAAAAAGGCAGCACTTGACACCGTCCCTGCCACAGAGAACACTGCTAAAACTGTTACTGGCTTCACTGGGATGGTACCCAGGCTACCTGTTAGAGGGTAATTAAGTCACTTCAGATTTCTACAACCTACATTTATAAGAACAATTGAAGCAGAGAGTGCTCTTTGACAGCTGAATATTTTGGTTTTTAAAGTGTGAAGCTGAAACTGTCTCCGAGAACGTAATTTAAAATACCATCTATTGAAAATACATTGTCATTACAGTGGGAACTGGAAATCTTCCCTACAAACATTCACATTTGCATTAACGTAGCCCTTGAAAAGAATGGAAAGCCTCTCTTCTTTTCCTTTCCTTCTTAAATTCTCTATGTATCCCCACAGCCCAAAATACGCACAAGAGTCCATGTCCACCATTTCTGATAAAAAATCATCATCTGAAAATCATCACCATCTTGGTATCACATCCCTTTGGTTTTTCCCAGTGCTCCTGCTAGAGGCTTCAGCTACAGACTTTAGCATTGTTCTTGCAAACTCCCAGTGATTTGATTCCCCACTCCCACAATAACAGCAGAATTTATAGCGGCTGTTCTTCAAAGAGCAATATTAATTTACAGTCACGTTGATAAGGCCACCCCAGCAAACAAAAGAAACACAAATAACTCATTTTCTTAAGTGAAACCAACTGGCAAACAAGCCATTTTAAATTCCAATTAACCACTTAGCAGTGTCGATAGTTACACGGAAGATGAAACTGAACTCTTATTAAATCACACATAGTAAAATCACCATCAGTCTTTGACAACTCAGTGACCTTTTCGATAAGCACTGATGAAACCGTTTCTTCCCTGTAAATGAAAACGCAGATAAATAGGCAGGCCTTTCTGAAACCATTCAGTCATTACACAACTACAAATTACATTGCAGAACAGTGAAATAAAGTACTGCTGCTAGTCACGGACATCGCTTCAATGGTAATTACTTGATTACAGGAGAGGTGGATCTTTCGCTTGCTTCCACTTTTCTGCTTCTGGGGACAGGACTGGCTGCAGGCATCTCCCCACTCAACCGGTCAGGTAAGAGGCTTTCTTTGTGCAGGTTCATCTCTGAATACGGGCAGCTGACTGCACTAGAATTTGAAGAAGAGAAATGCCTCTTTATTCTCAGACACTTACTGACTTCACTCAGTTCAAGTGAAATGACACCAGAGACCACTTCTCTAGAAGCAGATTCAATCCATTAATATAGAGAAGATTAGAAAAAAAATGCAGTAAGTAGCCACACTTTAAAATGTTAATAAATCCACTGATTAAAAACCCCAACCTGAATGTTTTCCACATTTTCTTTTGACAGCAACCTATGTAACACAAACTGTATTAATTTATATTACAGCAGACATTCCGGAAAATTGCTTGATGAATGTTTAGGCTGCTCTCTCATACCTTTAATGGTATTTTATACATAATATACAGGGTGCCTTTGACTATACCCACCCCTCTCCAAACAAAACCACATTCCCATGGTTATTTTTCCTGCAAAGCAGAGTATTTCTATTACATAATGTCCGCATAGAAGCTGCATTGCAAGGGCATAGTATGAGGAATGGTGCACATCCTCTTACTGCAGCAAATGCCCCATCTTTGCAAATATCGTTTTGTGATATTCCATTAAAAGACCACAATATTTCCACAGTCTCTCCTATCATTCAACACTCCCTATTTCACTACACTCCAACTAGAGAAAGAGCTAATTTGACAGTGTGCTTTGCTAATGACTTGTAAATATTACTCTATTAAAGTCGTACCTCCTGCAAGGGGTAGGAAAGGGAAGAACAGCAACACAATCACCCTGGGCTGAACTAGGATTTTGTGTTTTCAAGAACGCAATGCACTGTTCAACCGATTAGTCAGGCTACATACTCACCCTTCAAATATAGTATCACAAATTCTGAAAAGTGTATATATATGCCACCACAGTGATTAACAGCATGCTCAGTTTTCAAATCTCCATTTAAAATATAGGAGAGGCTGTGCTAAACATAATGCTCTATTTGTGGTTTATGAGCCATGACACTAACTATAACCTAAAACTATGCTTTCCTACTCACCTGTATTATTATGAGGACATCTACAAAGGTAAAAATGTAAAAAACCTCATGTCCTAGAATTTTGTTTAAAGAAGTTTACATGGCAGAGTAAGATATAGCTAACTGGATGGCTGGACTCTAAAGCACTACACTTGAAATAGGGTATTTTTTTTGTTAATGAAAATGTTTTAAAGACATGGAATACAATATACAAAGAAAAATTTAACTTGGAGTATTTAAGTTTTATTTCTAATTTCTCCTCAGCAGAATTTGGCATTTTAATTTAGGTTTAGTTATATACCTCTACTTACATTTATTTCTCAATCTACTGGTTTTGTCTGTCTTAGGACTATCCTCTGCCAGACATCTTAAAAGAACAAAAAAACACAAACTGAAAGATGAGGAAGAAAAAAAGGACACTAGGAAAGAGGGGAAGTTGTTTTATATTCTCAGTTCTTTGCATTGCTGCATCTACCACAATGATGTCTTTTTTTTTCCCTTTCAAATGAACTACAAGATGAAAGGCACAGGCTTCTATTCAGAAAAAAGGTTTTAAGGAGCAAATGCTAGTGGAATATAAGTTCTTGCTGTGACAAACTAATACCACAGCGATGAAATACAGTTATCAGAACCTCAGAAATACATTTGTTAATCTCAGTTCTGTCATTACTATAAGGCAAAGCATGTAATCTTCTTTTGGCTTCCTATGCTCACAGGGGTGTTTTGAGGCTTCGTATTTTTAAGCAGTTAGAGGGTTGTCTCAAGGAAATACTAAACACTACCAATGTGGTATTTAACTTCAGTTGTATATTATTAAACAAGCCTTACACCACAATGAAATCTGACAATACAACTTCATCTCTGTTCACATCTTCTGTTTACAAACACCATTAAGATGTTTTAAATTAAAAAACAAGAAAAAGCCTCAACATGTAGTCCTTCATTAGAATTTGCCTGTTTATATACTGCCTTTCCCTTTAGTATTTTCTGGAAAAACAGAAGTTGAATGACATCTTCAGTCAACAATATTTATAATATTAACAATGCTTTAGAACATTAGATTCAGAGCAGTTTTTATTTGTAATTAATCATTTGAGTTGCTGTATCACTTTTTAAAAACTCCTTGACAGTCCTTTGATGTTACTATTACTTGGGGCAACAAAAAGAACCATCAAAGTTTCCACTGGTAGCTTTGTTTTAACAAAACAAGGCAGGAATGAACCTGTCTATGAGTTACATGGCTTTGGATCAATCAGCAAACCCCCCTGAATCAAAATGCCTCCAGCCTTCAGACAAGTTCAATTTAACTTGTCTAATCAGAGAATAAAGAATTAATCTTGTTATTTCTACATAATAGAAGTAATTGATTTATACAGGACTGTAAGTTTTAAGAGACAACTCATCTCAAGGGTTCAGAAGTCTTGATGTTTAGGGTATTTAATATTAAATTAGGATTTTTAACTCTTCTGTCAGCTTAAACCTGGATTTCTGCTCCAGCTTGCAGTTTGCCATAGCACACCATTTTTAAAGCAGCAGAAGTTCAGAAGCCAGTTCTCAAAATGATCCGACATCCTTGACTTGGGTGTACCAAGGTCTGCCAGAGGCACAGGCAGCACGGCAAGAAGCAGAAGCAGTAGCAGGTACCCAATTTGAAACCTCTACTATACATCTGAAAGGCCTGTACACCCTCCAGCACTGCTGCACAGCTTTGAAACCAGTCCAACACAAAGACACTCAATTATCACTGGAGCTACTTCAGTAGGCTCAACCCATGTTTTAGCAAACAGATATTCACGCTAACACCACCTCATATTCACGCCCCCTCCCCGCACAGGAGAGCAATCAGCCATCTCTAAATGTTGAAGGATCAACACAGCGCAGCCATTAGCTATCTGCTGTACACTGCATCCTACTGAAACGGCAGCAGAGTGGCTGGCAATACACGTGCCCGTAACGCAGTCTTCTGAGGAAAGGGAGACACCGTTTCCAGAGTCCTTTATAGGCTGAGTAGAAATTGAGCATTAAAATAAGCTTCTGTTTTTATGGGATCAGGAAAGATCAGTAAGGAAAAACTCAATGCACCAATTAAGACCTCTGAAGAGTTCCTGGGATCACAGGCCTGGGATTTTCAAGTCAGCAGAGGTTTTACATAACCAGCCCTTTCCAGAACTGTCCAATGGAACAAAAACATCACAGTAGCATATCCCATTTGTGGTTATTTTGCAACTGCTCTTATATCACTCTCATGATCTATCTCTAGGTAGATATATCTTTTTTTTCTCTAAAGTTCAAGGGTAGTAGGATAAACTGCGCTACTCATGGCTGGGCACAGACCTTAGTCTTCACCAGACACGTGTCTTCTAGTAGCATACAAAGTTTCTGAAGCACAGAGTCCAACTGGATTACTCCAGTATGTCAGCTATACCTAACATCAGAAGTGAACATAAGGCAGTATTCTCTCTTAACCTGAAGAAGAGTAAGGTGGTACTCTGTTTGGCAAAAGAAAGTTAATACAAAGTATTTTTTAATACAGATTATTAGTCTTTATGACTACTTGGAATACTTTACAAACCTCTGCGAAGCCACAGATAGGTCTTCTAGTTTAGCTGTACTGGTTGGAAATGTTACCAATCCCAGCTCCTCATTGCCTTTCAAGTGCAGGTTATTGCCAAGCACTGCCAGGGAATGAGGTTGTACGGCAGCTCCAGGAAAATTCACCCAGATTTGCTCAAACTATCTTCCTTGATGGGTTGAACAAACAGATAGAACTAACTGATGGATTAGACTTTATCCAGAGCAGCCTATGTCCAGATGACCACATCTGCTGGTACTGACATGTGATTAGCAAGAAACCTCCAGTAAAAAGGTCCTGACAACATCTGGGGGATGTATTCTTTTTTTCTGCTGGATTATTGTTAAGTGATGTCTTTACTTCAGTTGACTTTACGGAAACACTTTTGACTAGTCTGGAAACAAGTGACACAAATGCCCCCTTTCACAATTTGCAACACATGTTTATCATCAAAACATTCTGTTTTAGGAGAAAGCTGCTTCAACAGTCTAAACCTGGCTCAAGATTTGGCTGGGGCTAACGACCTTACGTAAAAGCTAAGATGAAACTTGAGACTGGCATCAAAATCAGATGAGAACTACTTCAGCAGACACTGAATGAACAGATGCGACATCCTGCTGAGCTGAGGTTTGCCCTGTCTCTGCGCTGTGGTTCTCTTACGATACGGCCTCCACCACGGCGCATTCAGTTTCATTTCAACTTACACATAACACATGTAAAGTTTCTGTTAAAAATACTTATTCACGGAGAGTTGACCCAAAACACTAATGACCTGTTTACAACTGACCGCTTTGCATTACTGCTTGAACTTGAAAATTACTGCATGCATTAAACAGAGAGCATACAATTCACAATAATAAATGTGCAGGTGATTTGCATAATGCTACCAACCTGTGCACCAGTCTCAGCTTCAACTGTGCTGCAGAAAACCCCTAGATCAACTGGTGATAGACAGCAAGTCCTTATTAACATCAGCTTTTCAAAAAAGGAAATGCTTTAAACCCACTACATAATTAATCACTGAGGCTTTCATCTAACTCCTAAGGAACAAGCTCTCAAAATTATTTCAGAACTACTTAGCATTTTAAATTATCGTCTTTTCTTCACACAGGCATTTATGCTGTAGATAGCTGTTGTACCTCATCATGAAAAAAAAGATAAGCATGGTTAAATACATTTCAAGGTTGCCAAGACAGAAGAGCTAAGGGACTTCTACCTGATGTGGATAATTATACCAATTTCAAAATGTCTTTGTTAATTCAGGAAAAAAGTGATGGCATGAATTTTTGGTGTGACCTGGACCTTCAAGTCTGTAGACTCCAGGTAAATAACAAATCTCTTCATTTTCCTCAGAAATGTTCAAGAAAAAAACCAACAATATCAGCACAGAGGGCAAACCAATATAGTTAGTGAATAAGGTACTTAACAGTGTTTATTTGCTATGAAACAGCACATACCTGTCTTATCATCAACAAAATCTCTTTTGTTATATTTTTTTATCCCCTCGAACTATCAGTTAATGTGAAAATAATAGGATTGCTAAGGCCGCAGTAAAAATAAAACAGAATAAATTACCATCAGTTTATTTCTTTTCTTAATATTCAGAATGAGTAGGTATAACAACTTGAAACACCACGGAAAATATAGTTATAAAAGCAAAGGCTACATGAACTAACTAGACATACAGCTCTTACTCATCCCTTCCCTGTGAAACATTAGAAGTTTTAGTGCCAAAGTTTATTTAGAGAAGATCATAAATTAAAACCTTTTTTCTGACACATTCACTTACAGTTCTTTTTTTGGGGGGTTTCTTTTTTGTTCCAGACTTGGGCTAAGAATGGGTATAGTGACCTGAGTCTAAGTAATTGGGATAACACATGGTAAGGAAGATAATACCCTGAGTTGGAAGTTACTGCCCTACAGATCAGGTGCATTAAAAAAATCATACAAGACTCAATCTACTGGAACAGGAAACAAATGAGTTTCCACTAAGCAACCAGGAAGCTTTTTACGCAAGTCTAGTTTACTTCACATTTGCAGTGGACTAAGAACATGAATGCAGTAGGTTACCATATATGCTGACTGAAGGACGGTAACCTCTTTAAGTACTAACTTGACTGTTTAAGGAATTATCCTGCTGATTGAGTGCAACAAAGCTTCTCAAAAGTGAAGGCAGAAAAACTGAAGAAAAGCCAAAACCAAGAACACAGGCAGAAAAAGACAAAAGGAAACGGGTGAGACTAATCTGATAGACAGCAGTGCAGCATACTGTGTCATGACAACACCACCATAGTTCATATTGCAACAGGTTTCGTCACTGGAGCTAACCCAGCCACATCCCTTCCTGGAGATAAGAGCTTGTACTAGCATCAGGAGTTCTGCCTCCTAACAACACAAACACAATGCCTCTGCTGTAGATAGGAAAGAACTTCTTGTAGCAAAAGATGCCTTTTGCACACTAAACATGTAACGGCACAGTGAGTTTTGCTGGCAGGTATCTTTGCTAGGGATGAGTCAGGACTTCAGCCAGTGCTGATACGCCATCAAAACCTTGTCACATCATTCTAGCCAATGGGACATAATTCTCCCACCGAAAGCATGAAGGGATTGCAGAGCTAACTCTTGGATCATAGTAGTTTAATAATACACTTTAAAAACATGAATAGACAAATAACCAAAGATCAATCCTCTAACCATATGAGAGTAGAAAGCACAAAGAGATAGCACATTTGAGGATTGTATAACTGTGCAATGGAAAAATTCCAAGAAAACTTCTGGAAGTTCTAACTTGCAAAAAATTTATGACACTTAATTCTCAATTTAACATGTTACATTAACGGTATATCCCTTACTGAAATATTCAAGATTCACCTCATACTGTAAGTATTTTTAAAATAGTAATATTTTGACTTTGTAAATGTTTCCCATTTACTGTCACTGTGTCTCCACCCCCATTCCATTCTCCCACACTCTCCCTTGTCAACTCTGCTCTAGGACAGCTTGGGATGTCCACATTTCTGTATTTCAGCAGGTGTTCAACAAAAGCATCTTGAGAAACACTAGGTACAAACAGGAAGTTGTTCAGGCTGTCATTTGGGAATACATCAATTTGAATTTCCTTTTTAGCATTTTTCCAAGCTAACAAGCAAATCCTCACCCCTACCAACCAAGCAGAACAAAAACATCCAAGCCATAATAAAATTAGTGGCCTCATATTTCAAAAGGTTCAAAAGTTATTGCTTTATACATATCTGTCTATAACATTTTGCAATCCAACCAGCAAGCCAGGGAATCCTCATAGAACAAAATACAGAGTAGTTGAATCTATCAATTGTGACAAAAAATGATGTTTGACAAACCTTATCTCAGAACACCCTGGTGAAACGAAGTTACAGATTGCTAATGTTTATTTCAGCATGCTCACCATGGCAACCGAAATCATTGCATATTTAGGTTTACGAGATTTCATGTTTTTTTCCAGCTTGGATGTTTTCTTGTGAACAATTAAAAAAACCATGAATTGAAAGAATAAAATTACAGTTTCATGGCACATACCTATGATGGCCAATATGTCTTGCTCTTTTAATGTGCCCAACTCCTTTACATCCTGCTGTGGGACACCCTCCATGTTCTAAAGCTTCCACCAATTCCAAGGGACCTGCATGTCAGGGGAAATGACATATGAGATTTTTAAAAAGTATTTAATCTTTAAAAGTTATACCAATATGCAGGAATACTAGAGTATCATAGTAAACATGAAGAAGAAATAAGTAAACAAAACCTAATTCTGAAGTACTTTAAAAATGCATTCTGCAAATGCATGATGGAGATCCAAACAACCTAATCCACTGGAGAAATCATTTTATTCTATGTGAGTAAATCTCTACAGGAGAGCTACATCTATATAAAGAACATAAATCTTGGAGGAACTGTAGGATTTCGAATTTTTCTCCTGTTAACTACCTCTAGTTGGATCCTGGTTGTTTTGTAAGAGCATAGATAAAGTAAGTTACCCTGCTGTTCCTGAAGACAGGGATCTGTTCTTAATGGGTACTGACCTCCATTTTTAGCTCAAGTTTTCCAGTGAACAAGATGTGAAAACAAAAGCTGAAAATACTACTAAAAAAACCAAGCCATCGGGGGATTTCTGACATTTTTACTTATCTGAACTTACGTGTCTAGCTGATTCTCATCAACCTGTAACAATGTCGCCTGCAGAGTCATTAAAGTACATAGCTGTCAAAACCAGCTTTGACAGTCAACAAACATAGTAAATAACCCATAGTTTCACAGCAAGTGAGAGACAGACCTACTGCAGTATATGAAACTGAGAACACCTCCTGCACATCTGCAAACATGCACTGTCCCTCTAGTACTGGTTTTACAAGTTCATGTACATTTCAAGTATCTCCTCCTGCAGATAACAATACTGACATTAAAAGGTCTATTTAAATACATTTTCCTAGATGAAAGATAGATCCTTTCTCACAGATGGTTAATGAAAGATGAATTATTATGCATAATTAGGACAGTCCAAAAGCATTTTTTAACAAATATCGCAACTATGCTAATGTTACAACACAATGACTACACTGAAGTCCAAAGACTTCTACAGGCTTTAAAATGGTGCAATGGATGAGAGAACAAAGAATTTTATCTTTTCTACCTTTATGCAAAATTGATGCCTATAATATAACAAGTTAGTGGACTCGGAGGAAGAGTTGATTTAATATGGATGCTTTTGTAAAGGGAGGACCTGCCCCACTGATGGTCTGGTTTTGTAAAAACTAGCTCCCTACAAATGTTCTCCCTTCACTTCAAAAATTCAAACCCTCTCAAAATGTAATTTAAAAGAGCTGCAACTGGCTGTCCATATTTATGCATGAAGCTGCTGCTTGTGTCACTGTGAAACAATATTAAAATCAATACCAATACATGGCTCAATTCCCTAACTGCTATCAAAAAGGTGATAATCCATCATGACTACTTCATTAACTTTGAAGACAAAACACTATGAATACATAAATTCTGTGAACATAAGACTGTCACGATGACTGCTCTAGACTAATATTGCTAATAATGTGCAGCATTCACACAAAGCTTCTAGTATCAAAAGACAGGGATCTGGACCACGTCATTAACAGGACTACCTTACTGACTGAGGAAAAAACACTGTCTTGCAAAATATTTTCTTCCCTCCTTCTGAAACCCTTTCACAAAACCTGAAATGCACTTTAATTCACTTGGAAACAATATTAATATTTTTGTAATAGTCTAAATTCTATACCATATTTACAATAATAATAGGAAGTCGCATTGTTGGAAGAACATATTATTCAGTAATCATCATATTTTAATAGTATTTGTGCAATGCATTATTCTTTTCCTATTTAACAGACAGTCACGCGCCCTCCTGTCACATTGTCCATCTTCGTTTTCATAGCTTAACTAGTATCAAAAAGTTACTTCCACCAGTCGCATGCTAAGAAATGAACAGTGCCTCCTACGCCACTACCTAGAGGAGATGACACGTTTTATGTGATGGGCATCTGTATTTTGTTTCTTTTAATGTCTCAAACAAAATTAACTTAAGTCTTTTATACTCCCACTTAGGCTAAGGTTTTGGGTTTGTTTTTTTTTTTTTTTCAATCTCAGGTGATAGAAATGTTGCAAACTTATTCCGCTCTTTTGCCATAGGACACAATTTTTATTTATGTGGCCACAGACCACTTTTTCCCACTGGAGTGCTCCTTCATTCAGTACACAGGATGCACATCTCAGATTAAGAAGTCGATATGCAGCTTCCTATCTTCTCCTCATTATTCACTTTGTGCTTTGGCACTTAGGGCACTCTATTCTGACTCTGCTTTCAAGGCAGAATGATTAACTTCCTATCAGGCAGTCATCGCTATATCACCAGGTCAGAAAACTAATGAATGTACTCTGATCACGCTCTTGATAGGAAACATGTCTTCTTGACATTTTAGAGACACTGAATTGAGGTACTAAGATTTTCAGGTAACACGTTTACACAGTCTGTGTGTGCCTTATCCCAGTTATTTTACACTTACTTTTTTTTCAGAGTACTTGGCATTGCTCAGCATTTCTTATTTTCCAAGCACAGCTCTTTCTGATCTCAGTTACAGCTGTGAACAGCGAGCACTTGTGCAAGCCATACCTCAGAGTCACAGTGTAAAACAATCCCAGAGAAGAGCACTCAGTTAAAAATCACCTGTTCAAAGTTTGGCTAAAGTGATTTCGCTACCATTATCCACACAATGGCATAGGCAGGGGTACCTTTACCACAAAAGTCTCTTCTCCCTGCAACTTTCAGTCTCATTTATGACAGACCTCCCACTTCAACAAGCAAAACAAATGCCCAGAGAAGGCAAGCCAGTAAACACAGTATTATTATTGGTACCATGCTTCTGTTAGATTTATCTTCAACGTGGGCACCGTTAACCCGTCTTTGCTCAGCTGAAGAAGAAAAGGAAGTCAGCTGGTTTTGAGGATTTGCCAAGGCATTTGAAAGGAGTGCCTTCTGAGTGCAGTCTGCACTCCTTCGAGCTGAAAAGCACACTAACCTTCAAGAGGACATGGAGAGAAGATTTTAAGTGACACCCTACCCCTACTGAGTGCCACAGCAGTTTCATCAACAGCTTCGAGAGGGCCAGGATTTTATCCAACAGATCTTTACCATTACTTCAGGTTCTGACTGTGGTTCTTATGCATACAGAGAAACATTGTATTGCCTTTACAGTTAGGGTCAATAAAGCTAGCCACTAAAAACTGACTAATTACTGACGGTTAATTTTGCGCTGTCACATTTACATTATTTTGCATATCCTAGTTGCTACTCTTCCTTGGACAGCACTGGCAAGGAAGAATGTAACATGGTACATGTGCCTTTTAACATCATTACTTTATAATGATGATTTCCCTTACTAAGTGGGGGCTGAAGAGGATGTCCGGTTTTTGTACACCAGCCTGCAGGATGGATATCAGGGCTATCTACATCAGTCCAATAATCGTAAATACTATCCCAGCCATCAAAATGGACCTAAAATAAAAAAGGAGAACATTTTAGATCAGAAAAATTGTCTACAAAATCAGTTTCCATAAGTGATCTCCAAAAATGACATATCCATTAGATAAGACACTTTAACAGAACTATCAATGTTACACAGAGAATACATGTACATTAGATTTTGGACCCAGACATACTCTCACTGAAGTAAAGAGAGAGGTGTCATTTGGTTGTTTACTGTATGTTGCATCATCAGGTTCAAATCCTAGGAATAAAGCAGGCAAGTTTAGTTCTTACATTACTACTTACATTAAGCATGAATTTCTGCCTTTTTTCTCTCTCAAAAAACCCCAAAAATCTAAACATTTTTTAATCTCCTGTTTGAGCAGGATTTAATAATAGCAGAACAGTAAGTAAAGGCCTTAAAAATGGCATTTATCTATAACAAATAACAAACAAAAAGCCCTAACATACATGTAGCAACTTTACTAAGATCAGACTTTACAGGATAAGGAGCTGAAACTGAAGAGAAAATGAAGTACGTGACTTCCCAGAAAACTACCAGTATGGGCTGTACGTGGTTTTTTTTCAGGTGAAAGCTAAATATCTTCAAATCTTACTTGACCTTTGTACTAGTAAATAGCTCAGATCTCTCATGAGCACCTGCAGATGCATGTACACACAGATATATACAGAGACAAATCACCACCCTGGAAGCTACAAATCCTGTCATTTTAATAAATGAGACTGGAGATGGGGTTTTTTTGTTTGTTTTGGTTTTGGTTTTTGCGTGCCAAACTTAAGGTTTAGATAGAAAATGTGTAGGTGTGAAGATACTAGGTCTGATGACTCTCTACCACCAGTTAATTCAGATTCAAAATGAAATGTCAGCTGCATTTCTGCTTGAAATACCATGTGTGCCTAATAAATCTGTACAATATGCAAACACAATATGCAAACAATAGTGTTCATATCCATCTAACTGGATATCTGGAATATGCTAGTCCTTCTAACAGTTAAGGACTTCAGAGAATAAACTGGTTTTGTGCAATAAAAGAAAAATAATATATTTAAAATATATTTAAATTTATAATTAAATATAAAATATTATACATATAA